CGCAGGCAGGGCGGCGGTAGGGCCGCAAGTAGGGCGGCGGGCGGGCCGCAGTTAGGGCGGCGGGCGGGCCGCAGGTAGGGCGGCTGGCGGGCCGCAGGTAGGGCAGCGGGCGGGCCGCGACGTGAGGGCGGCGGGGCCGCTGTAGTGGGGCGGCGGGGCCGCTTAGCAGAGGGCGGCGGGGCCGCGTGAGCAGGGCGGCGGGGCCGCGTGAGCAGGGCGGCGGGGCCGCGAAGCAGAGGGCGGGCGGGCCGCGACGTGAGGGCGGCTGGGCCGCTGTAGCAGGGCGGCGGGGCCGCTTAGCAGAGGGCGGCGGGGCCGCGTGAGCAGGGCGGCGGGGCCGTGAAGCAGAGGGCGGCTGGGCCGCGCGAGCAGGGCGGCGGGGCCGCGAAGGAAGGGCGGCGGGGCCGCGTTAGTAGGGCGGCGAGGCCGCGAAGGAAGGGCGGCAGGGCCGCTTGAGCAGAGTGACGGGGCCGCGAAGGGAGGGCGGCGGGGCCGCGAGGGGCGACACGGAGGGTCGCTAAAAAAAAAAAAGGAAAACGCGCCTCGGGGCGCGCTTCGGTGGGCCCTAGAAGCAGTCCCTAGGAGGGGACCTGCTCTGATTCCATGTGAAATAAGAACGAGAATGTTTGAACTATGAATGAAGTGAGTACATATGGGAAACCCTAATTGGGTTGTACCCCTTATGGGATACCCCACTATAGCCTACACAACAGCATAAGCTATATAATGTTCTGACAGAATGGATCCGTCTGGTACCCGTGGGTGAATAGGCCTGTCAGTAGCGGGCTTGTCTGGGCGAGTAGTATTGCGTGGATCTGGCCAGTGCGGCGGGTCAGTGCGTCGGCGATGTTCGAGGCTCCCTTTTTGTAGGTGACCGTGTAGTGAAAATTAGACTCGAGAAAATCGAGCCAGCGAATCTGTCGTGGGTTGAGGTGTGGCTGTGCGCGAAGGTACTGTAGTGATTTATGGTCTGTCCGTACTGTCACGTCCGCGCCAGTCAAGTAACAGCGCCATACTTTGAACGCGTGCACGATCGCAAGCATTTCGCGGTCGTGTATCGGGTAATTTTTCTCGGGCGGATGCAGTTTTCGTGACTCGTATGCGATAGGCTGTAGGCCATTGCCGAAATCCTGTAGCAGTACGGCTCCGATGGCGATATCGCTTGCGTCGGTAACTACTTCGAATGGGCGGTGTGGGTCGGCGATGCGCAGGACGGGCGGGGAACAGAGAACATTTTTCAGGGCAGAGAAGGCAGCATGCTCTTTCTCCCCCCACGTAAAAGCGACCCCCTTCCGCAGTAAGTCCGTCAGTGGGGCAGTTAACCGTGCCATATCGGGGACGAACCGACGCACGTAATTAACGAACCCTAAAAAGCTCTGCAGCTCCGTGATGTTCGTCGGGGGATGCCACGCCGTTACCGTATCCAGCTTCTTTGGGTCGATTTCAACTCCAGCCTCCGAAATAACGTGCCCCAAAAATTCTAACCTATCCTGGAAGAACTCGCACTTGGAACCCTTGGTCAGTAATCTGTGCTCGTCTAAAACCTTAAACACTGCTTCCAGATCTGCTAAGTGCTGCTGCTGATCCCGACTGTAAACTAGGATGTCGTCGAGGTAAACTATGACACATTTATCTAAGAGTGGCCTAAAGGCCTCGTTCATGGTCATCTGAAAAGTCGCCGGTGCGTTGGTCAGCCCGAATGGCATCACAGTGTACTCGAACGACCCTACCTAGTCCTGAAAGCCGTTTTGGCGCAGTCCGATGGTTCGACCCTAATCTGATGGTAACCTCCCCGTAAATCTATTTTCGAAAAAACCCGTGCTGTTCGCAGTTGGTCGATCAGTTCGTCGGCGCGGGGAATTGGGTACCGCGACTTGACTGTTACCCTGTTCAGTGCTCTGTAGTCGATACACATGCGAAAACCCCCGTCTTTTTTCGGCGTGAATAGTATCGGTGCGGCGAACGGTGACGAGCTCGGTCGGATGAATTTTTTCTCTAACAGGTAATCTAGCTGCTTCCTTAGTTCGTCGAGCTCGGGCTGTGTCAGTCTGAACTGGCGCTGTACGGTTGGCTGTGCCCCTGGTTCTAATTCGATTCGGTGGTCATGTGCTCGCTGAGGTGGCAGTCCTTCCGGTAAGTCGTCGGGGAAAATCCCGGGGTATCGTTTCAACAGTTCCTGTAATTCGGGCGGTACGGCTGCCAGCAGTCTCTTGAAATCACTCGGCTGCTCTGCTTCCTCTACTACTGCGATGTCTACTGCGTACACGTCAGCTCCAGCAGCGACAGCCCATTTCATTGTGATGGCGTTGACGTGTACCGTTGAAGACTCGGGCGACTGCCAGTGAGGTAGCTCGACCCAGTTACCACTACTTCGCACGGTGCAGCTACCCGTCGTCCAGTCAATTCGCGAGTTATACCGTCGCAGCCAATCACGTCCCAGTAAAATATCGTGCCCATCCAGTGTCGTTGCGAGCATTTCCTGTGTAAACCCGAAGTTTCCCCCGCAGCGGACTTTGACTCTCTCTACCTTTTCCCGTATGGCCAGTGGCGTGCCGTCGACTAAGCGTGCGTCTATCTCCGGTAAGCAACTGCTAAGTGTCAGCTGCAGTTTTCGTGCGGTTGCGGTATTAACTAAACTGTGGCTTGCTCCTCCGTCGATAAAAATCTTCACTGCTGCTCCCTGTATTTTCCCGTGGATCAGTACTGGGCAATCCGTCGCTGTACCCTCCTTATTCGTCCGAGTCCGATCGATAGCATGAATCGGTACTGTGACTCGGTGAGGGTCGGTGGGGTTGGGCGAGCAGGTAGTCTCGTCAGTAGTTGGCCCGGTTCCTACTAACTGCTGGCGTTTCCCTGCCTTGGAGACTCCCTCCCCTGCTCTGCTCCGCGGCGCCTTAGCTCCTCTGGGCATTCGCTCTTGCGATGGCCCGGCCTGTTGCAAGCAAAGCAGCGCCCCTTAAACGGCGCGGCAGCTGCATTCGTCGCAACAGCGTGTACAGTGGCGTGCTCGATCGGTCCTCGAGGACGATGTCCATAGTAGGACCCCGGTCTCGGACGGCGTAAAATGTCGATTTTCTCGGCGAGCGCGAGAATCTCGTTGAAGTTCGAGAGCCCGCGTAGCATGATTTCGTGCGAGATGTCCGGCTTCAATCCTCTGACGTAACGGTCCACCCGCTCCGCTTCGTGCATGTAGCCGACTTGCTCGCATAATGCGAGAAAACCACTCGTATAGTCTTGAACCGATCCGAGCTGCCGCCAAGTGCGCAATCTCTGACGCGCCGAAATAGAAGCCGCGATCGGCTCGAAGCGCGCCCGAAGCCCTGCGCACCACGCATCCCACGTGCTGTATTGGGCGGTCTCGCAGAATGAACTCCAGGTGACAGCTGGACCCGTGGGCCCTTCCTCTTGCGACGGTGGCTCGTAGGCGCGTGGCGACGTCACGATGACTCGCCACCAGTCCATGGCGGGGCCCCTCAGCAGCGAAACGGCATACCGAATCTTCGCTGCGTCCGACTCGACGTAATTCGCGTCGAAGAAGACGTTCATCGTGAAGACCCACGATTGAACCGTCGGACCTCCACGCTGGCTCGGGTCGAAGCAGGGCGGGCGTTGCGGCTTGAGTGGCATTGGTGCCATAACGGCCTGTTCGCCACTTGTCGCCGCGAACTCCACGTGCCGACGGGCTTCGCGAGGCTCCCGCGGGCTTGGTGCGACCCTGTTTCCTCCCATGCCAGGCATCGGCTGGGCGGCGCCATCGCTGGCTGCGCCTGAGCGCTGTCCCACGCTGTTGTTTTGTGTTGGTGTGCCGGACGAGATGACGATCGGCTCGTCTGATTGTGCAGATGCATTTGTCGATGCGTGTGGTGGCGCTGGAGTGTTCATCGTTGATTGCTGACGCGCGGAGTCACGTTCCGCCGTGAGCGTCGCAATTTCGAGTGCCGAATCTTCGAGTTGGCGCACCAGACGGTCGAGCTGCTCCTGCGTCAATATGGCGAGCGTGAATTCGGCCATGGCGGGGGTGTCGGGCGAGCTCAGCGAGAGCCTCGGTCGTGGCCGTGCGTGCTTACGAGAGAGCACTACGAGCGGCGGTGCTGTGTCGCTGAGAGACGTCTACCCCCCCAAAAAATTGAGATAGTGGGGAAGCGAAGGTGTGGGTGCGGTCCGAAAGGAGATCGTAGGCTCTGAATACCAAGTGTTACGAGTGCAATTGAGTGAACGAACAAGAATTGCACTATCGAAGCAAGAGTTCAATGAGCGAAGGCATGAGCGAAGAATATATAGCGAAACTACAGTGGTAACGGTAATGGACTATGGTTGTCGCGCGACAGGCCTGGGACTGAGGTTGGGAAAAAGTGTCGAAGCGGAGGCCCGGAGCGCGGGTTACCCGCCGAGCCGTGAGGTCGGGGTGCGATGTGCGAAGGTGGCGGGCGGATTGTCGATGCGAGGGTTGCGAGTGGTAACGGTGCTGACTGTGGTGCTACAGTGATGTACGCGTTAAGCAGGGATGCGAAGTAAGGAAAAGGAATTTTCCTTACAGTAGCCCTCCTGGGTTGTTCTGGTGTACCTCTGTCAGCAAATTTCTTTGCCCAAATGTATACGGCCAATCCAAAGCAAGACAGCATAACAAGAAGACTGTTCGGCCAAGAGCCTCCAACCCAGCCCTATTATCCCACCTTAACCATCCGTTTGCGTTGTAGAAAGCGCCGAAATTCGCGAATAAAGGCCACTGCTGCATGTATACCCACTGGGAAAAAAAGGGGCTGGGATGCGGAAGAGAAGAAATTTCAGGCAACTCCGAACAGCCAGTGAGTGTCAAGCCATTTGAATGAGAAGAAAAAGACACACGAAGGCACCTGCTAGGTATGTATCTGCTAAGGACACTGTCAGAATAACCCAGGAGGCATCTGCTAAGATTCACATGATAAGATTCTAAGAAATCATCGGAGGCAAGGATGTACAGTGATGGGGAGGAGAGAGGGTGATGGAAACTGAAAGGCGGTTTAGAGGAGCCGGAAAAAAGAATAAGGGAATTGAACAAACAGGGAATTGAACAAACAGAGTGGAGAGGAAAGGAAGAGCTGAGAGAGGGAGAGAGTGGGAGAGAGTGGGAGAGAGTGGGAGAGAGAGGTTTACTAACAGAGTAAATTGCAAGGTGATGCTCTAGCGGGTAGAAGATTCCAGCCTCCATGCTTGGGTGAAATAGAGCAGCATCAGCTGCCAGTTTCGCCCTCCTCAGTGCTGCCTGCGCTTCGTCATATCTCCCCTCTCTAGCTGCTTCTCTTGCTGCTCGTGCAGAGGACAGCGCAGAGAATACAAACTCGCTGATGTCATCGCGCACAACCATGGACGGTAGTGATTGCACGAGGGCGGCAACGGATGATAGAGATGCTGCAATGGTTGCTTCATCTGCCGGGAGCCGTTGTCGCAGCAACGAGTCTACCTCCCACTCCGCCACTCCCCTCAGCCCTGCTGATAAACTGCGTGCGCCCACTGCTCCTTTGCTTCCCCAACTGCTTCCCCTGCTGCCACTGCTGCCACTGCTGCTGCTGCCACTATGCGGGGAAGCAGGCGAAGTGGGGCAGAGTGCAGGTGGAGTGGCAGACAGGCCAAAGAGAGACCTCAGTTGGGCTATCGCAAGGGCGAGGACAGGAGTGAAGGAGGAGGGAGAGAGGACGTGAGGGGAGGCAAATGATGGGGTGTCAGAAGTCGAGGAGGAGGAGGAGGAGGAGGAGGAGGAGGAGGAGGAGGAGGAGGAGGAGGAGGAGGAGGAGGAGGAGGAAGAGGAGGAGGGAGCGGAGCAGTTGAGAGGGTTGAAGAGGATAACAGAGCCCCAACCAGGGGATATGAACCCAGATGGAGGCACTGATGGTGAATGGTGCTTGCCGTTGTTGCTGGGCGCGTGTGTGGCTATGGTTAGGGGACAGGTGGTGCGAGAGGGAATGTAGCTGCAGCAATGGGAGGAAAGGAAAGAACAGGTTGGGGAGAATGGACGAGATTGAGGGTTGGAACACACACGAACAAAGACCAGATGGGAAGAGGGAGAAACGAACCAACCTGTCTGGCGTAGTGAGATTTAACTCTTTACTGAAGCAAGACAAACCACGCACCTATCAGAGATGCATGACACATACACTCATCCGAGACAGCCAGAGACACAAAAGGCACATGACAAGAAGGCCACTCACACAACGACATGCAGCAGCTTGGATCGGCCATGAGCCATGAGTGGCAGCGATGCATGCAGATGCCATGTGTCGGCATTGAGCACGAATGGCAGATCGGACGCCTGCACCTCATGCACCCTCGCATGCTCGTTCCACCTTGCCGCTGCTGCCATTGGGGCAAAGTAGAGGACCTTATGGGAAGGAAGGAAGGAGGGCAGGGGGGAAAAACAGGGGAAGGAGGGGAAGAAAAAGGGGGGCAATATAGAAAAAACATGTGCGTAAGGGAAGAAGGTAAGGGCGCATGGTGAGATCTTATTAAAGACCACGGCTACAATTGGTGAAAAGGTATGTGCGGAGCAAAGGTAGATGAGGAGTGGCGTGGCGGACAGGGGACGGGGGAGGAGCGAGGGGGTTGTGCAAGTGAATGTGCAGGTGGCTATGTTAGTTTTGTGCAACGTTTGAGATTTGATTTGTCAAATGGGAGAAGGCGCACCTGGCTGTGGAAGTGGAGAGTGAGCAGAGGGCTGAACGCGGCTTGCAGGGGACGCAGGAGAGACGCCCGCAGTGATGGAAAGTTCCTGTGTGGCAGATTAGGAGGAGGGAGGGAGGGAGGGGGGGAGCGAGGGAGGGAGGGAGTGAGGGAGGCAGAAGGGGGGGGGGGAGGGGGGGAGTGAGGGAGGGAGAAAGGGGGGGGAGGGGAGGGAGAGAGGGAGAGAGGGAGGGAGGGAGGGAGGGAGGGAGGGAGGGAGGGAGGGAGGGAGGGAGGGAGGGAGGGAGGGAGGGAGGGAGGGAGGGAGGGAGGGAGGGAAGGAGGTGGCAGAAATTGCAATGAAATGAACAGGGATGTCATGTTGTGGAAGTTCAAAACAACAAGGAGCGAGCATTCAGCAGCACCTTCACACCTTCATCCATAATACTGCTCATTCTCCCCCAAACACCCATCACCCCCATTTTTCTCCCACCCACGCACGCAGGAGCAGGCAGGCATGCAGAGGTCGCACGCACCATTGGAAGGCCCACTGGTGTGGGTCGGCGTTGAGCAAGCTCCACGACACACTCACTGCACTGTCCGGCCCTATTGGCAACTCCGCTCTGCCGCCGCCGCCACCGCCGCTGCCGCTGCTGCTGCTGACATTGCTTGGTGGTAGTGTATCGAAAGCCATGTGTGAAGGAGGCACAAGCAGCGACGCCAGAGATTGCACTGCCATTGGTGCGAGCAGCAGAGGGAAGCCTGTGTGGTCTTGACGGGGAGACGAAGAGGAGGAGGAAGAGGAGGAGGAAGAGGAGGAGGAAGAGGAAGGCGGGAAGTACATCCATGCGTGTCTGTGCTTTCCCACCACCACCTCTCCCCATTCTGACGCACATACAGGCGATTCCCTCCCCTTCCCCATCTCACTCCCACTCTCCCCATCCTTCTGCCGCCCCCCCTGACTCTCGTCTCGTCCTTCCACCAGCAGCAGCACATAGCGACCACCCCACTTTTGAGTCCGAATCACAGGGTCCCAGGAAGGATTCGGGGGAGGAGATGCGGATTCTGAGAGATTAGAGCGCGACAACGCGCTCTGGATTTGACCATCCAGCCACGTGTCAAACTCTGATTCGCTGAGCTGTACTTCCGCATCCACCACCTGTGCCCAGTCTATGCGGCAAGGCCAGTCTTGCCCTGGCGATGCTGCTGGCGGTTCAGCTGCTGCTGCTGATGTGGTGAGAGCTGATTGGCAGGCAGCGCCGCGGACAGCCCACAGGGTAATAGACCTCGCTTGCTTGCTGCCACACAATGCAGCGCCGTTTGCTGAATCGGGGATATAGCTATGGCCATAGGGGTACGCGTGAGGGGAGCAGAGGGCAGAGAGAGACGCCTCGGCTGTGTCCTGTAGTTGAGACGTGGGGAATAGAGGGGAAGATGGTTCTTGCTGCTGCTGCTGCTGCTGCTGCTCCTCTGGTTGCTGCTTGAACGGCGGAGTTTTGAGCAGGAAAATAACGTCAACGTGGATGGGCAGGGATATGGGGTGCGCAGTGACGTCATGCGTGAAGCTGCTGATGTCGGCAAATGGCAGCGGCGCACGATACACGCGTGTGGTATACCACCAGACAGGCAGCCCTGCGAAGGGACAGGGGACAGGAGCGGAGTGGGGGGTGGGGAAAGGGAAATGGGTAACTGAGGTTGAGACACACAAGGCGCAGCGGCATGTGGGCCATTGGGCGATCGAGGACGAGAGTGGGAACCGGGGATGGGCTCAGTCGGACAGCAGAAGGCAATGCGTCGCGACTGGTCCGCAAAGGGAGAGTGCGGAAAGGACTGAGGGGGAGGACCCCCTCCGCCTGCACGTCACATGGCGACACCGTCGCGAATTACGGCGAATGACGGCGACAGGAGCTCCCTGATTGTTGATCAACTCAAAGAACTGAAGAAACCGCATTGGCTATGGCGGATGCGCGGAAGAAAGCGGGTAGATTCGGAAAGCGGCAGAATTCGAGATAGATTCGAGCATGCAGTAGTAGCTCTCTCTTTCCCTCTGCGCACGACCGAGCCACTTGCTAACCGGGCAATCAACGCACACAGCAGCAGCGACACCGCTATCGACCCCGTCACCAGCAGCCGCGTCCTCCCCGGGGGGCTTCCGCCGCTCCTCTCGCCTTCCGCCGATGTCCCTCCGCCTGCGCAGGCGGACTTCTCCGTCAAAGCCAAACGCTCCGCCTCCTCATCGGCCATTTGTGTCCCCGCGAGAGACCCGCCTCCCCCCGAAGTGACGCGGGGTGCGGACATTTCCTAAAAAATCACGAGAAAATCACGAGTTGACACAATGGTTTGAATTCGTCGTGATGAACAGGTGGCGTTAGGAAAGGTGACAGCGAGACTTCACATCACCAGCTAATGTTCAGCCAATGCGAATCTCGTCGCTTCCGCTCTGCACCTTGGATTCAAGCGATGACTTTGATATAATTCCTCACTTATCTGACACCTAAGGGAGTACACTAGAAAGGTTCATCTGAATGTGGTAAGAACCTGAGTGCTTTTCCGAAAGGCTCGGTGTTCACACAGAACGATTAAGGGTTTCAGGCAATATTAGAACACTCTTGTAATGTACATTTATAGATCTGTGAAAGTCTGAATCATGCATCTGCAGGATGAATATGATCCTTGTGTCTTGACCCCAGCCAAACACCAGCTGCAAAGCTAATGTCATTACACTTCACTGAACTGCGAGTGTATGCTTCTCTGATACATCAGGGTAGCAAAACAATCCGCATTCTGCCTCCAAAAGCATACCAGTAGGTCTGCAATCTGCATTCCAAGCACATTATAATTAAATGTACACTCAATCATGGTGCTTCGTTCTCTGCCTACACATCATAACAAATTGTGGCTCTAACCTTAACAACCACAGGTCTACATGCCCCAGAGGGAAGCAAGCCAGTGGAGTATGGACTGGCAGCATGCCATCCATGCCCACCCTGGCATGGACTGGCAGTGCACTGCACAGGCAGAGAGGAAGGTTGGGCCTTGAGCATGCCAGGACCAAGACGTGCGGGTGCCCTACTAGGGACTGGCTCTGCCCACCCCCGCCCACACCACATGACATCACTGCTGGCCAGACAGCTTTGTCATTTGGTGTGGGAGGAGGGGGACAGAACCAGTCCGGTTTGGCCCGGAATCGAGTCCCCAGCCAATGCTCAAGGCTTCAACCCCTCTCGTGGACTGCCTTCCACCTGCATGGTACAAGAGACAAACATTAGTCCAGGCTCTTAAAAAACAGCAAGGATGCAGCATGCGTCAAAGCAAAATGATTAACACAACTAAATAAAAAAGATTCAGCGAATTGACTCAGTGCAAAGTGAAGGGCAGAGACTTATCTGAAGTTAAAGAGTTGGAGGTGTTGAGCAGTGCGCAAGGACTTGAAGCTCCATGGGAGTGCAGAGTGCCCTTGGAGAGATCCTGCCACGGGGTAAATAAACAAAGTCAGTGACTGGCATCAACTTGAAGCAACAACGTGAATGAAGCGAAGCAATCAACAAACTAAGCAAGCGGTGAAGACAAGGGGTAGGCAACTTATCTCGCCATGCGTGAGCCTTGAATCGCCTCAGCAGACCATGGTGCTCCCATGGATGTTGAACATGCTGAAGGTCCTTGGTTGAGCAACCTGCAACATGAAGTAAAAATAAACCATATCAGTAAATCAAGTAACTTCAGAATCACACAGCAACAGAAAGCAAGAATTGAGGGGAAAAGAAGGAATCGGCAAGCTTGGAGTAAGCAGTGGAGGAGCATTGGAGCGATAAAGCAAGGAAATAAGCTGGGGTTGGTGACTTATCTTCCAAGGTTGTTGAGCCTTGAGGTGCCTCAGCAGACCAGCTCCCATGGATCTTGATTCTTGGGCTTGCTGAAACGCATTGTTGAAGCAACCTGCCAATTGAAGTCAGAAAATCCGAGTTAGAAAGGAATAGTCAATGAAGGAAAACGAAACAACATGCAACAAGTGACTTCAAACGAGACTTACTCGTAGTGAAGAGAGAGGAGGCACCTGCCAGGTGCTGTTTGCAGGTACGTTCACCTCGCCTTGGAGCTTGGCACAAGGGCCATAACCTGCAAGGAGATCAAGGGAACTACATTAGTAAACAGCAGTGAACAAATCAGCAGAAACGGACGGTGATGCAAGTGTGGTGCAAGTGTGCACTGCCTACAGAGCCAATACCAAAAAAAAGACCTTAGGGGGACCTTTACCCACCTCAACCTTTACCATCACCTTGACCTGAACCAAGGGGGGGGGCTCCGAGGAGTGTGGAGTGGGTGGCTGATACGTTCAACCTTCACCTGCCCTGGAGCTGCTCCTCTGTTGTACGCCACGAAGCAAGGATGGCCGCCAAACGATGTTGTTCCTCTGAAGTCATCGCAGCAGACCCTCGGATAGAACCTGCAGGTATGGCAATAAAGACGAATTAGTAAAGGTCGGGCAATAAAGCATGTAAAACGAAAGAAGCGTGGAAAAAACAGAGCCAATACCAACTGAAAAACCTTCAGGGGGAACCTTACCAACCTCGACCTGTACCATACCTTGACCTGTACCTAACCTTAACCCGGGGGGGGCTCTGTGAAGTATGAAGGGTGGGTGATACTTCAACCTTCTCCTCTGTTGACCTTCATGAAGCATGGAAAGCCCCGACGGCCTTTGCTCCTCTTAAACATTCGGAAATACGCCTCGCAGCCTCCATTAGAACCTGCGAGTGTAGACAAAAACATGTAGTTAGTATACGGAATTGAAGAAAACATGCAGAAATCGACTTTGCGAAGTGAAAGAAACATGTGCTGCCCCACCACAGAGCCGATACCAACCTGTACCGTAAAAGAAAAACCTCCTGGGGACCTTTACCTAACCTGTACCGAACCTTTACCAAACCTTAACCGGGGGGGAGGCTCTGTGGTGAGTGGTGGTGCAAGGAGATACGTTTAACATTCACCAGAACGACTCGTGGAGCTGCTCCTCTGCTCCTCTGGTCGATCGATGACACTTCAGCCACGTCGTAGATGGCCGAGGACGCTTTGAAGAATGGAGAGCCACGAAAGCCGTTGCTCCTCTAAAAGCTTCGGAAGTACGCCTAGCAGCTTCCATAAACACCTGCAAGCATAAGAAGTAACATGAAGTCAGTAAACGGAAGTGAAGAAAGCAAAAGGAAATGAAGACTGTAAACGTGAAAGAACACGTGCTGCCCCACCACAGAGCCAGTACTAGCCAAACACCTTGGGAACCTTTACCGCACCTGTACCGAACCTGTACCAAACCTTTACCAGGGAGGAGGCTCTGTGGTGAGAGGTGGTGAAAGGTGATACGTTCAACCTTCACCGTAACAAGTCGGGGATATCGATGCCGCTTCAGCCACGTCGTAGCTAGCGTCGCGACGAGGTCGAGGAAAAAACGCAGATCGACGTAGCTTCGCTACGTTGCAAAAACTCCCACGGTCGAGGTAATGAAGCTCCACGATCCGACCATACGATCCCGGCAAGGCTGAACGGCGTCGACGTGAGAAGATGGTGAAGGGTCGAAACTGGTAGCGCGATCGAAAGTCAAGATCGATTAGCAAAAGTGCCAGGAAGGCTACAGAAACTAATTGAAAGTCACGAGAAGACGAGCCGGAATACGAAGAGAGACTGGAGATGCATGGAATGTCTAATTTCGGACCGTTGGGATGCGGTTTGGAATCAATGAGCGGCTGAAAATCTCGCTTTGCTGGCTTCGAAGGTGGTCCCAACATGCCACCGTGGACTACGTGGACGATTGTGGATCATAAGGAATCGCCGACAACATGAAGATGAGCTCTGATTGGACCGCCAAATGAGCCCCAACGTTTGATTAAACCGCCAACGAAAACACTATCCAACCAGAATTTCCTCAAACTGGGACACGTATGCTGTTTCAACAGCCAGAAAAAAACGCGAGTACACACACGAATTTTGAAGGTCTAGTGACGTGGCCTATAAAACTTCCGCTCATTCAACCGCCGCGACCCGTATTCCGAAGCGTGCTGCTAAATTGAGCCGCTCTAGTGCTTAGGAGGCGGCTGGCAGAAGAGTTGGGAGGGAAGTCGAGATGTGTCTGGTTGGGTCTGACAGCAGCGGCGGTAGAGAGAAGCGATGGAGCAGCTGTAAACCCATCATCTGCCAGAAGGGGAAGCTCGAGCCATGGTTAGCGAATTGGCGAGCTCACAGGTAACTTCTGCTGTCGGCTGTTGCGAAGTGGTTGGAAACTGCAATGCGCGAAAGGTTTTCGTGCATGCATTGTCGCGACGGCGAAGTCATTCGTCATTCTGTGAATGGTTGGATCTGGTGGTGGGGAGCACGGAAGGATGTTGGATGTATGAAGGAAGGTCAAATCTGGTTGAACACGGTTCGGATTTTTTTTACCGGGTTTGCAAGGCAATCTCACATCACATCCCAAGCCTTGGTGTTTGTCCCCCTCGTTTTCCCGCCTGTAAGTGCGGTTCAGTAAGTGTTAACGTGGTAAATAGCGGTATATTCAGCTGACCACAGCACCGTAAAGCACCAGACAATACCGTTGCTCCGTGAACAAGAAACACCATTCCCAATCCCAGGGCACACTTCCGTTTTCCCGCGGGAAATTCCAATCAATGCAATTTCGAGGTCCGCATCCTGCTTCGCTCCCCACTCGCACTCTCAAATTCCGCCATGATCCCCACGGCTCTTCCACATCGTTCTTTTCAAGAACAAGCGCTTTCCCGTCTCTTCCCCTTCACTTCCTCCGTCGTTTCCTTCTCCGCCGCTGCACGCGTTCCGCTTTACTGCGTTTCAACGACCTCTCGCTTGCACACGCACATTTTAGCGGCACAACAGACTCGTTGCTCGAGCACTTGGCGACATTCTCGTTTCGATCAGAGTCACGATCAAGCGATCAGACGGTGGCTTGTTGCATGGCGTCGCACGTGTGACCGGCGGTTACAGCTAAAGCGACTGATGCGAAAGCGCTCGCTCGGCGAGCGCTACAGCTAGTGGCGACGGGAGCGAGAAGGAGGTGTGGGTGATGACGCAAGCAAAGGAGGTGGTGACGGCAGCGTTGGAGGCGGGATGGGGGACGGTGGTGGTGGACGGCGCGGCGGAAGAAGGGGAGAGCGGAGCGGGGAAGAAGGGGAAGCGCAAGGGCGGGAAGGACGGGGAGGAGATTGTGGAGGGGGAGTGTGAGCTCAGTGGAAGAGACGCGTGAATTTTTTGAGAGTATGTGATGCGGCGGGTTCACATCTGTGCGGTGCGCTGTGCCATTCTCGCACTGTCATTCCACTTCGTCCCATGCAGCGGCGTCGCTCTTAAGTTGACTTGAATCGTCATTCCATCACGCACCGTCACTCCCCGGCACCTCCAACCCACCTCCCGTTCCACCTCCCCACACCGCCCCGCGTCCTTCCCCTCCTCCCCCCTCCTCTCGCCCCCAGTCGCCACCCGTTGCCGCGCGGCAGAACTGGGTTGCGCGTGGTGACGCGGAGAGGCGGGGGGGGGGGAGAGGTTGGCGGCGTGGGTGCGCGTGGCGAGCGCGGCGGAGCAGGAAGTCATGTGCGCGCTGGCGTGGCGAGAGGACGCTGTAGTCATGGACGCCGCGGACTGGAAGGTGCGCGCCGTGTGAGAGTGGGGGGAGAGGGAGAGGGATTGGGAGAGAGGGAGAGGGAGAGGGAGAGGGAGAGAGGGAGAGGGAGAGGGAGAGGGAGAGGGAGAGGGAGAGAGGGAGAGGGAGAGCTGGGCTGTGGGGGTTGCTGGGCCGTGGGAGTGCTTAGTGGTGCGTGTGAGAGGGGGGTGTGGAAGGCAGAGAGCGGCATGCGACTTGCCGATGCAAGCACTGCAAATTGTGAAAAGGAGGATGGGGATCGCATTTTTGTGGTTTCTATTCGCATTGATTGTCAGTTGATGGTGGATGATGAGAGAAGGAAGGTCTGTTCTTCATCCTCTCTTCCCCTCCTGCTCCACCCTCCCTCTCCTTTTCTCCCTCCTCTGCAGCTCCGTGCGCCACCAGGTTGCAAGCGGATATGATCAGCTCCCTCTGTCTCTCTCTCACTCGCTCACTGTCTCCATCTTGGCAGATGACCGACCCACTTGCTAGTCAGTCGGGCAATCAACGCACGCAGCAGCGCCACCTCTATCGACCCTGTCACCGGCAGCCGAACCTCCCCGAGGGGCCTTCCTTGGCTCCTCTGCCGGTGCCCCGATGCCTCCTGTACCCCCCACCCGCCTCGTCCGCTGGTGGCATCCCCATGGAAGCCCCGCCTCTCCCGAGAGTGACACGCTGTGCGGGCTGTGCACACATGCCGTAACCCTCCCTGCCTGGCGAACAATGGGATTCGGGAAAGCACCACTTTACATGATGGTGTAACTTTGGCATGAGGAACAGGTGGCAATACAACAGTGGACGACAGCAGTGTTTATATCAAATGTTGCTAGCATACCAGAAGTGGAATGTTAAACCCATCAATTCAATTTCTCAACACGACTTCTTCTACGCTCATTTGTCTGTCAATCTAACAAATGTGGAGAACAAACCCGTAGCAGGCATACTGATTCTCTGAGAGTGGTAAAAGAGATAAAGAGGGTTCAATTGTGTTTGAGAGCTAGGGACAGCATGGAGGGATGGAGTGGTGGGCCATGGGAATTGCTGGCAGGGCTCTTCAGACCTGGTAAAAGGGATGGAGGCATGGTCACATTGGATGGCTGCTATGCATTCAAGACAGCATTTTGCATAATCAGAGTCCCAGCGGAGATTATCAGTGACTAAGGGGATATCTCCATAGGCCGTGCCGCACTGACGCTTCTGCTCCACATCCTGCTGCTGCTGTCACTACCCCTGCTGCCGCCAGTCCTGCCCCCACTGCCAATAGTAGGCCTCTAGTGTGCTGCTCAGCTGCTGTGCGTCCCTTTCCTGCTTCTGCGCACCTGCATGCAGACAAGTGCAGGTGGTGGTGCAGAGATTGAGCATTTGGGGGGAGGGGAGGAAGGGGGAGGAAGGGGAGGAAGGGAAGGAAGGGGAGGAAGGGGAGGAAGGGGAGAAAGGGAAGGAAGGGGAGGAAGGGCGAAAGAGGGAGGAGGAGGGGGGGGGGGGGGGGTGGTTGGTTGGGGGGGGGACTAGTTAGGAATGGGAGGAGAGAGACATGGGAGAGTGAGAGACAGAGGGTTGGGACGGAAGGACAATGCGGAATAGCACACAAGGATGGGTTAGGAGAGAGTGTGAGAGGGGAGTGGGAGGGAGACGGATGGGAGATGACCATGGTGGCTGGCAGATGGGATAAGGGGGGTGGCAGGCAGTGGGTGGGGGATGCGAGTGAAGGCAATGGTGACAAGGGGAGCAAGGAATGTGCGGGCGTGTATGTTAGAGGAGGTGAGGAGTTGCGAGAAACGATATGAAGAGGAATACAGGTGAAACGGACAGATGCTCATCACAAGTCAAGACACAGAATGGGACATCACCCATTCCATCCATCCCACCCCATCCCATTCCATCCATCCCACCCCATCCCATACATCCCATCCCATCCCATCCCATCCCATCCCATCCCATCCCATCCCATCCCATCCCATCCCATCCCATCCCATCCCATCCCATCCCATCCCATCCCATCCCATCCCATCACATCCCATCTTATCCCGCCCCATCCCATCCCATCTTATCCCGCCCCATCCCGTCCCATCTTATCCCACCCCATCCCGTCCCGTCCCGTCCCATCCCATCCTGTCCCCTCCCCTCCCCTACCTTCCTCTCCCATCCGCTCCTCTCCCCTCCCATCCCATCTCCTTTCTATCAGCGACATACGACGAGAGCACGTGCAGTAAGTGCTGTAGGCGCTGTGAAGCCAGCTGCGGCAGCGGCAGTGCGTGCCAGGGCGAGGGGGCAAAAGGGGAAGGGGGGAAGGGAGGGAGGTGTTGAGGTGCCTCAAATACAGCGGCAGTGAATGGCTGGGCCCACACGCGCTCATCAACAGCAGCGTCTGATGCTGCTGCCGCGTTGGCGATCACCGTTGACAGGGAGAAGCTGGAAGCGAGGAAAGAGGGGGCCGGGGGGGGGGGGGGGGGGGATTGAAGGGAAGGGAGGGGGCCCGGAGGGGAAAGGAGCAGACGGGAGGGGAGCGGAGGAAAGAGAAGGGAGAGTTCGGAGCGTTTGAACCTTGAAGCAGGGCGGAAGGCGTACAGAACGGCGGAAGGCTAGTAACGCGAACAGCGGGTACTGGTGCACGCACGGAGGGGGGAGGGGAAGGGAGGGTAAGCGGAGGGACGGGAAGGGAGGAGAAAGGAGGGAGATAGGAGAGGAAAGTCTAGACGGGGGGAGAGTTTAGAGCGTCTGAAATGTGAAGCGTGGATACATATCCTAGAGTGCAAGAGCACGTGTAGCAAGGGCGTAAACGCACAGTGGAGATTTAGAGAACGAAGACTGCTGGAGCAACCACCGTTGGACCCAAGGTCGTGCGCTCGAAGACTGCACGACCAGATAAGCGAAGGGAGAGAGGGTCTCGAGAGAGTGCACTGCACTTCAATGCGGTTCGTTACTTGAGCGGAGCCGAGACCAGATAGGCGTAAGCCAAGAGAGAGTCTCGAAAGAGTGCACTGCACTTCAATGCGGTGACATGCGATTTCGTGCCTTTACGATGTACTTTTTGTTAGAAAGTTCCGGAGGTTTTCCAGCAATACCACATGATGACTCTCAGTTGTGATACCGGTAATTGAGAATCTGGATTGCAAGACTGCAGTTTTTTTATTATACAGGTTAGAGAACACATGACTACAAATGCTTCTAGAATTACGTTTTCTAAGAATACTTGAACAGACATTTCTCATACTGTGAAATTCTACGCCATATCCAGAGTAGTATCGTTACACTAGTGAACATTTCGTAAATTAACTATTGTAGCATAGAGGTGCTAGTGTGGCGCACAGGCAGGCAGTGCTTGTGCTGCAGCACACAGATAGTGTGGCACACAGGCAGTGCTTGTGCTGCAGCACACAGATAGTGTGGCACACAGGCAGTGCTTGTGCTGCAGCACACAGACAGTGTGGCACACAGGCAGTGCTTGTGCTGCAGCACACAGCTAGTGTGGCACACAGGCAGTGCTTGTGCTGCAGCAAACAGCTAGTGTGGCACACAGGCAGTGCTTGTGCTGCAGCACACAGACAGTGTGGCACACAGGCAGTGCTTGTGCTGCAGCACACAGATAGTGTGGCACACAGGCAGTGCTTGTGCTGCAGCACACAGCTAGTGTGGCACACAGGCAGTGCTTGTGCTGCAGCACACAGATAGTGTGGCACACAGGCAGTGCTTGTGCTGCAGCACACAGATAGTGTGGCACACAGGCAGTGCTTGTGCTGCAGCACACAGACAGTGTGGCACACAGGCAGTGCTTGTGCTGCAGCACACAGACAGTGTGGCACACAGGCAGTGCTTGTGCTGCAGCACACAGATAGTGTGGCACACAGGCAGTGCTTGTGCTGCAGCACACAGATAGTGTGGCACACAGGCAGTGCTTGTGCTGCAGCACACAGATAGTGTGGCACACAGGCAGTGCTTGTGCTGCAGCACACAGATAGTGTGGCACACAGGCAGTGCTTGTGCTGCAGCACACAGACAGTGTGGCACACAGGCAGTGCTTGTGCTGCAGCACACAGATAGTGTGGCACACAGGCAGTGCTTGTGCTGCAGCACACAGATAGTGTGGCACACAGGCAGTGCTTGTGCTGCAGCACACAGATAGTGTGGCACACAGGCAGTGCTTGTGCTGCAGCACACAGACAGTGTGGCACACAGGCAGTGCTTGTGCTGCAGCACACAGACAGTGTGGCACACAGGCAGTGCTTGTGCTGCAGCACACAGACAGTGTGGCACACAGGCAGTGCTTGTGCTGCAGCACACAGATAGTGTGGCACACAGGCAGTGCTTGTGCTGCAGCACACAGACAGTGTGGCACACAGGCAGTGCTTGTGCTGCAGAACACAGATAGTGTGGCACACAGGCAGTGCTTGTGCTGCAGCACACAGACAGTGTGGCACACAGGCAGTGCTTGTTGCAGCACACAGATAGTGTGGCACACAGGCAGTGCTTGTGCTGCAGCACACAGACAGTGTGGCACACAGGCAGTGCTTGTGCTGCAGCACACAGACAGTGTGGCACACAGGCAGTGCTTGTGCTGCAGCACACAGACAGTGTGGCACACAGGCAGTGCTTGTGCTGCAGCACACAGAGAGTGTGGCACACAGGCAGTGCTTGTGCTGCAGCACACAGATAGTGTGGCACACAGGCAGTGCTTGTGCTGCAGCACACAGCTAGTGTGGCACACAGGCAGTGCTTGTGCTGCAGCACACAGATAGTGTGGCACACAGGCAGTGCTTGTGCTGCAGCACACAGCTAGTGTGGCACACAGGCAGTGCTTGTGCTGCAGCACACAGATAGTGTGGCACACAGGCAGTGCTTGTGCTGCAGCACACAGATAGTGTGGCACACAGGCAGTGCTTGTGCTGCAGCACACAGATAGTGTGGCACACAGGCAGTGCTTGTGCTGCAGCACACAGATAGTGTGGCACACAGGCAGTGCATGCGTTGCAGGGACTGGAACAACAAGTGCAAGGTTATCACCTGCACTTCCATACTCCGCACTTCCAAATCTTTCTATTCCCTCACTCCAACGTTCCCGCCCTCTTGCCCTTCTTCCCCCTCCTGCCCTCCCGCCCTTCCTGCTCCCGCCATCCCCATACCTACAGGGGGAGCGCACGAGCAGCACGGAGTGGGACGAGCAATAGGCGTCAGCAGCCGCAGCACGAGTAGCCCTGGCCCGTTTGGACGGTGGCAGGGCGCTGCAACTGATGAGCGGAAAAGGGAGAGGAGGAGGAGGGGACAAGGGGGGGAGGAGGGTTGTTAAAAAGGAAAGGGAGGAGAGACATAGAGGAGTGAGAGACACAAGGGTTGGGGACGGAAGGTCAATATGGAATGACACACACAGGTGGGTCAGGAGAGAGTGTGAGAGGGGAGTGGGAGGGAGGGGAGACGGATGGGAGATGACCAGCGTGGGTGGCAGCGAGTGGGGTGAGCGTGACAGAGAGTGTGTAAAGGAGAGCAGTGAGACTCATCCCCATTCCATACCTCATCTCATCCCATCCCATCCCCTTCTCTCCCCTCCCTTCCTCGCCCCGTCCCCCCACATCCCCTCCCCTCCGATCCCCTCCCCTCTCAACCTCTCCCTTCCTCTCCCTTTCCCACCCCACGCCCCCCCCCCCCCCCTCTCTTCAGGCATACGATGAGAGCACGTGCTGGCAGGGCGAGCAGCTGCGTGAATTTCATCCTCTCTTGAGTTGGGCTGGTGAGTTGGGCTGGTGAGTTGGGCTGGTGAGTTGGACTGGTGGAGAGGTGGAGGGGGACTAGGAGGGTCGCACAGCTTGTCCTTCCACAGCAAGGCCCCTTAGGAAAACAGCTCGTGATAGAACAGCTCAGGTAAAGTGGGGCACTCCAGTACTCACTCACCGTTGCACGAGCACGCCCCCCAGCCCAACCACTTTCTCCTGCTGCCGCGCCATCGTCAGACTCTGACCGCTCCACACTGATCACAGTCACACGCATCGGCTGCACATCGCATGCACCTAGAACTCACCGTTGCACTAGAGGGCAAGGGGTGCAGCTCGTGGGAGGAGACGAACGTCTTGAGGAGCTTGACTGAGGCGCGGGAGAGGAAGGTGTGCAGGGGGTGCAGGGCTGGGCGCTGCTGTGAGAGATTACCTGCACGGGAGCAGGGAAGGGACGAAAAAGGAAGGGACAGGAAGGGAACGAGGTGGCTTTTAAAGGAAATCAAAGGTAATGTAATCTGGTTCGTGTGTAGCAGACGAGCGTCTTGAGGAGCTTGAATGAGGCGCGGGAGAGGAAGGTGTGCAGAGGTTGCAGGGCTGGACGGTGCTGCGAGATATTGCCTGCGTGGGAGCAGGGCGCAATGGAGCATAGCACGGGGACAGGGGAAAGGGAATGATTTGCTTGTTAAAGGGGATTAGACAGCCACAGATTCCGGAAAGGAAGGTGTGCAGGGGGCATAGAGCTGGGTTCTGCTGCAAAAGATTGTGTGAGTAAGAGCAGGAAATGGAGCAGCGATGCAGGGGAGTGGGGTGGGGAAGGAGAGGGATGGAAGATCACAGGCTTTGATATTTCAAATCGCAGAGCTCTAATCTGCACTTCGCTGTTCTTCTAAACGAATAAGGACTCACAGAGAGAGAGCGTCGACTCACAGAGAGAGAGCGTCGACTCACAGAGAGAGAGCGTCGACTCACAGAGAGAGAGCGTCGACTCACAGAGAGAGAGCGTCGACTCACAGAGAGAGAGCGTCGACTCACAGAGAGAGAGCGTCGACTCACAGAGAGAGAGCGTCGACTCACAGAGAGAGAGCGTAGACTCACAGAGAGAGAGCGTCGACTCACAGAGAGAGAGCGTCGACTCACAGAGAGAGAGCGTCGACTCACAGAGAGAGAGCGTCGACTCGCAGAGAGAGAGCATCAACTCGCAGAGAGAGAGCGTCGACTCACAGAGAGAGAGCGTCGACTCACAGAGAGAGAGCGTCGACTCACAGAGAGAGAGAGAGCGTCAACTCACAGAGAGAGAGCGTCGACTCACAGAGAGAGAGCGTCGACTCACAGAGAGAGAGCGTCGACTCACAGAGAGAGAGCGTCAACTCGCAGAGAGAGAGCGTCGACTCACAGAGAGAGAGCGTCGACTCACAGAGAGAGAGCGTCGACTCACAGAGAGAGAGAGAGCGTCAACTCGCAGAGAGAGAGCGTCGACTCACAGAGAGAGAGCGTCGACTCACAGAGAGAGAGCGTCGACTCACAGAAAGAGAGCGTCGACTCACAGAAAGAGAGCGTCTACTTCCATTCACTGCACCGCGCGCTCAATCACTGCACCGCACGCTCAATCACTGCACCGCACGCTCAATCACTGCACCGCACGCTCATTCACTGCGCTACAACTTACTGATCGCCGCAGCTTATGGGCAGAGAACAGACCCCTCCTTGCCTACAAGGGCTCGCTGCCTCTCCCCTCGCCTCCACGCCTCACTGGCCTGCCATGCCACCAACGGATGGACGAGAGCTGGGAGTGACGGACAGGGGAGGAGGATGGGGAGAACGAGAGGAGAGAAGCATGGGTTGTCGTGGGATGGACCGAGAGAGAAGGACAGGATAGGAGGGGAAGAGGAGGGATTGCAGCGAGCAAGGCTTTGAGCCGTCTCAAAATCTTGACACGTCCCGATGCATGGGATGCTGAGGGATGGATGGGGAGAGAAGGAGGGGATAGGAGGGGAAGAGGAGTTGGTGCTGCAGGCAAGGAGGACTGAGCGCAAAATAGGATCAGGAGGAAGAGAAGTGGGAGGTACAGACAGGCAGAGCCATGTTGAGATGAGCAAGCAGTGTTGTGGTGAGGGCGCTGCATGCATGTACATATTTTGCAAGTAACACTGCATCATATTGAAGGTGCTGTTACTTGTTAGAATTCCCACAATCACAAGCACGCCCCGTTTTGAAACCTTGGCAAGAAACGCCCACCTCTCGGAAGTAATACTGCATCATCCTCTTCCTCTCACATGCCGCCTCGCGATGCCGCTTGTACCAATCAGAGGACTTGGGGGGGAGCGGCGGGACGCCCCCCTGGTGCAGCAGCAGTAGCAGGAGCAGACAGCGCAGCTGGAGGAGCAACAGCAGCAGCAGCACCACCGCCTTCATTCGCACGAGGCGCCAGCACCAGCATCCGCCTGAACAGCACCCGCCACCCCGTTCCCCCGAGCTCGCCCCCCCTCGCCCCTCCCACGCGGGCACCACTGTCCGCCACAGGTACTCCTCGCGCACGCACGGCACGAACCGCCCCATCAGCACCGGGTCAAATACGCGGGGAGCATGCCACGTGGCGCCGATGCGGCTGGTGCGGACACGTGGCAGCACGAGCGTGCGCCCCCAGTGGCGCGCGAGAGCCATGGCTTCCGCCAGGTGGAGCCGCGCTTTGCTCAGCTGCTCCCAAAGATTCCCGACGGCGAGGTACCGCGCGGATGGCGCAGTGGCTGGCGGAAGATGGGGGGAAACGTGCGGGGGAAGAGGAGGGGGGGAGGGGAAGGGGGAAGTGGGTGAGCCAGGTGGAGGCGCGCTTTGCTGAGCTGCTCCCGGAGATACACGACGGCGAGGTAGCGTGCCGAGGGCGCCGTGGCTGGGGGGCGGAGGGGGAGGGGGAAGAGGGGGAGAGGAGGACGGCGGGAGTAGGGGGTCGTTGGGGAATAGGAGAGGGGGAACCATGTGCAGGCGCGCGTGTGCTAGCGGAGGGCGCAGGCGATGCGGGGAGGGACGAGGGGCGAGGGACGTGAGCTGCATTCAGGAGCTGGATAGCGCGTGAGGAGGTGAGAGAAGGCGCACGTCCGCGGAAGAAGATTCATTAATAATGTCAGATACGTGAGAGCTGAACATATCGATCCCGGCGGAAGGGAGGCACAAGAAAATCGTCGTTTGTTTGCCACTGGAAGGGGAGAGGGGGAGTACAGGGATCGAACGACGCCGAGTGCATGGCGGTCTGCGACTCGTCGCACTCGAACACGCTGCCTTGCTGCGACGGCCGCCATCCCAAAATTCTACACGCAACTATCACTTCGAAAACGCGGGAGACCCCGGGGTCACCCTCACGTGGTGACCCACAAGTTCCCCCTGTCTTCCCTTCAGGTTACCTCACGGCACAGCTACGTCAGCAACAACCGCCAATCTTAGCGCCCGCCATCGGAGCAAACCTTCTGACCAATCGGGACGGTTTCCAGTTCGCGAGGGTTCCCCGAGGTTACCCCAACGTTGGCGGGAAAATGATGGGCATTGCTTACTTTGTCGCTACTCTGCTTCTGCCGAGGCTGCGACGTTTGGGAATTCCACACAGCTTGGTGTGGTACGTAAACTGTTAGGCCCGACGGCCTAAGTCCGCTAAAGAATTAGCGGGGTCGACTAAGTCGAGGATGAAACGCGGCGGAAGACTTTGGCGAAAGAACTATTAGCGAAATAGGCGAAGAAGTTACTGAGTAATTGAAGAAGAGTTGAATGAGAATTGGTTGATATGAGGGAATACAAGCAAGGTTGATATAGCATGCAAGAACAATTGAAGGAAAGTGGGTTGTGGGACTAGGAACTAGAAGGCAAAGAAAGTAGAGTGCCACGTGGCACTAGGAAATCTAGGAAGATAAGGATAAGGATGAGTTGGATGGGTTGGGAAAGTACTGTTCAAAGAGAACAGTAAATCCCCCCTTAACACTACCCCCCTCCCAAGGAGGCGACGTCCGCGGCGCCTGCAGACTGAAGGTACGCTTGGAGGCAAGCGTTGTCGGGAGACAGCGAGGACGAAGGAACCCAGCTGTCGTCTGCTGCGTCGTAACCACGCCAACGAACCAAGAAGTCGATGAAAGGGACACCCCCCTGGAGACGGTGACGGTGCCTGAGGATGCGCTGGATCTGGTAGTCGGGCTCGTCGGTCTCAACAGCTACCGGCAGTGGAGTGCGGTCACCGCCCGAGAAGGTGGCATTGGGATCGGTGTAAGGACGAAGAAGCGACACGTGGAATGACGGGTGCATGCGGAAATGAGCGGGAAGGCGAAGGCGGTATGCGACTGGACCAAGTGCGCGTTCAATGACAAATGGACCAATGAAACGTGGACGAAGCTTGCTGTCCTGTGGCAGTCGGAGGTTGCGGCTATCCAAGAGAACACGGTCGCCGACTGCGAACGACACCTCACGACAACTGCGGTTGGTGGTGCGTGCCATGCGTGCATTTGCGAGCTCAAGGTGCTTCCTCATGTGATCATGGATGAATGTGAGATGCTGGTGGAAGTTGTCCGCACGAGGGACAGTGGGTGTGAGATCGACACGAGTGGGGACATTAGGGTGCTGACCGTAAAGTGCAAAGAACGGTGACATGCATGTGGACGAGTGGTGCGTGTTGTTGTAGGCGAACTCGGCCATGCTCAGCTTCTTGTCCCATGCGGCTGCGTTGTGCATCGTGATGTTGCGAAGAATCTGCTCCAAGGTCTGGTTCACACGCTCTGTCTGTCCGCCTGTCTCTGGATGGTACGCAGACGACATGGCTAAGCGAGTCCCGAACAGTGCGAAAAGCTGCTTCCAGAACTTCGAAGTGAAACGAGGGTCGCGGTCTGAGATGATGGAATCTGGAACCCCGTGCAGTCGGACTACGTTATCTACGAACAGCGTCACGGCTTCCTCTGCTGTGACCTTGCCGTGCGTGGGGATGAAATGCGCTGCTCGAGAAAACTTATCCACTACCACGAAGATGGCGTCGTGACCCCTAACTGTGCGCGGTAAAGCCATGATGAAGTCCATGGTAACTACCTGCCAAGGGCGGTCGGGCGGTGGAATCGGCTGCAAGAGTCCTGCCTTGCGCTGGCGAGAGGACTTCGTACGCTGACACGTGTCGCACGAGCGAATGTAATCCTCTACGTCTACTGCAAGCCCTGGCCAGAAGTACGTGCGACTAAGCGTCTTAGCCGTCTTATCTGCTCCGAAGTGCCCTGCACTAACTACGCCGTGCGCCTCTGAGAGAAGGAGCTGTCGAAGAGGGCGGTAGGCAGGAACCCAAATCCGTGTGGTACCCTTCCGTATGTAGACACTACCCTGCACCTCTGCTCCTGCGGGTGGCTGCGGTGTGAAGTCGGGATCTACTGTGTAACCGTGCTCGAAGAGTGCTGTGAGAAGTGGATGGCCGGCAGTAACTGTGAGGCTAGCGAGCTGGCAACTAGGGCGAGTGAGTGGGTCTGCTGGGTTGCGAACGCCTGGCTTGTACTCTATCCTGTAATGGAAACTCCCCTCCATGAACTCCATCCATCTAGCCTGGCGACGACTCAGCTGCGGCTGCGACTTGAGAAAGCGAAGCGAGCAATGGTCCGTGCGTATCACACTATCTGCCCCCTCTAGGTAGCACCTCCACACCTTATACGCATGGATGATCGCGAGCGCTTCCTTGTCGTGAATCGGATAGTTCAGCTCCGCTCCCCTAAGCTTACGCGACTCGTACGCGATCGGCTGCAACCCGCGTCCCTGGTCCTGAAGAAGCACTGCTCCTATGGCCTGATCTGAAGCGTCGGTCACTACAACGTATGGGCGAGTGGGATCAGGGTACGACAGTGTCGGTGAAGACGTGAGCGACTGCTTCATCTGCTCGAACGCCTGCTGCTGCGCTGGACCCCAAACGTATTCTACGCCCTTCCGAAGTAGGTCGGTGAGTGGACTAGCGATCGATGCGTAACCCTGAACGAAACGGCGGTAGTAATTTGCGAATCCGATGAAGCTCTGCAACTCCTTGACTGAGGTCGGTGCTACCCAATCCTGTACTGCTGCGATCTTCTTCGGGTCGGTCCTAATGCCACTAGCGGAAACAACGTGACCTAGAAACTCGACCTCCGGGAGGAAGAACTCGCACTTCGACTGCTTCGCGTACAACTGCTCCCTCCTCAAGACCTCAAAGACCTTCTGCAAGTGTTGCACGTGCTCCTCCTTCGTCTTAGAGAACACTAGGATGTCGTCCAGGTAAACTACAACGAACGACCCTAGGAACTCGGAGAGGACGGTGTTCATGAGCGTCTGAAACGTCGCTGGGGCGTTGGTCAATCCGAACGGTAGAACCCTAAACTCGTACAACCCCTGCTTCGTACGGAACGCCGTCTTGTGCTGGTCCTCTGGAACTACGCGAATCTGGTGGTAACCCGAACGAAGGTCGATCTTTGAGAAGACTCTAGCGCCCTGCACTGCATCTAGGAGATCCTCTACTCTCGGCACCGGAAACCTATTCTTGACGGTGGCGGCGTTCAGTGCGCGGTAATCTATGCACATCCGTAACCCTCCGTCTTTCTTGGGTGCGAAAAGGATCGGTGCTGCCCAAGGCGATCTAGATGGCTGTATGAAACCCTGCGCGAGAAAGTGTCTAACCTGCTGCGTCATCTCCTCTGTCTCTGCTGGACTCAATCTCCACTGCGGCTTCGCTACTGGCCTGCTCCCCGGCTCCAACTCTATCCGATGGTCTACTGCTCGGCTAGGAGGTAACCCTGGGGGCAACTCGTCGGGGAAGACGTCTGCGAACTCTGCTAATAGTGCACTCACCTCAGCAGGAAGAGTCGCCTTCGCACCAATTGCTGCACTCCCTCCTTTCCCCTCCTCAGCTTCCACCTCCTCAAGGAAAACCGCAAAGATCCGCGCCGCACGCTTCACTAACTGTCGCACACGAACAGCATTAATGATAGCTGTGGAGGATGTGGCCGCATCGCTCCACTGTGGCAGCTCCCGGAACTCGCCATCTACCTTGACGCTGCAGCTTCCCTGAGCCCAATCGAACTGAGTACTAACCGTGCGTAGCCAATCTCTACCGAAGATGAAGTCGTATCCGTCTAGCGTCGCAGAGTCGAAATCACGCCTAACTGTGATCGGTCCTAGCACTACGCGCAACTTGCGAATGATCGGTCCTATGTGGAGAGGCGTCTCATCTACCATGCTAGCATCCTTGAAGTTGACTGTGGAATCTGCTTCGAGATGGAGGCGACTGACTAACGATGAAGACACGAACGAGTGGCTAGCTCCGCTATCTACGAGAATCTTAACAGGAACTCCGCGAAGCTTCCCTAGAAGCACGACTGGCCGGTCAACAGTGTCTACCTCGTTCTCCGTAGATGACTGCTGCAAAGCCGTCTCCTCTACGTTGGTAGACGTGGCGGGTACGGGAACCTCCACACCAGCTAGCGACCCGCTATCTACTGGCGGTTTCCGTTTCCCTGCTGCCGCTCCTTAAGCTGTGGGCAGTCCCGCTTCATGTGTCCCGGCTTTTTGCAGTAGTGACAGTTCCCCCTAAATCCCGTTTTCTGTGAGCCGTCACTGTTAACTGCACCAATCTCCATGGGCGATGGTCCGTCCCTCGATCGAGCGTCGTTGATCGGTCTGTTGTATCCCCTATCGCGATCGTCACGACCCCGTCGGCTTCGTACTGCGTCGACGCGTTCTGCTGCTGCGAGAACTGTCTCGAAGGTGGACAACCCGTGAATCGCTATAACCTCCGCTATGTCCGGCTTCAACCCTTCGAGGTAGCGATCGCGCATCTCTGCTTCAGTGATGTCGTCTATCTCGTTGCAGATGCTCAAGAACCGTCGTGTGTACTCCTGGACGTTTCCTATCTGTCGGAAATGACGCAGACGCTTCCTAGCAGCTTCGGAGGCGTTCACCAAATCGAACCTACTTTTCAGCGCCGCTTCAAATCCTTCCCATGTGGTCGGAACCGTGGTAACACCCAAAGCTAAACTCCCTAAGCTCGAAGTTGCAGCTGCATGCCCCACGCCCTGTTGATG